TATTATCGCAGGTTTTCTCGCGATGTTTACCTTCACTGTTTGTTAGTGGTGTATACTCATAGAAAATACACATAACTTTGAAAAGTTACCATGGTTCTTGCCAGGTTTTGAACCCGCACTTTCGTGCATAGGAAGCGGCCTAAATCTTCGGGGCCCATTAACATTTAATAGTTCCATCGATAGATTGATCCCTATCAATATAATTACTATAATAGATGTACGGTAACTTTTCACTTTGGAAGTTCCATTATACAAAATTCATTGGTCAATTATGAGTAATACCCAATAATAGTTTGCTACTGCCTTTGCTTCGCCCATAAATAATACTGTTATCAGCAATTATTATAAATATAGAGGTTTAATGTACAAAATATCAATCAAATTTCGAACTCTTTTATGTGACCTTCATTGTAACAAAGCTTTTAGAAAGTTTTTTCTTGTTTATTGAATATTTTATTTGTATTTATTTAGCTACTACTTTTATGCCAAAATTTAATCCCGTAAAAACTTTTTTCCGGGCAATAGAAAAAACGTCCATTCATACATTTATACTAACATTTTTTTTTGTATATATAAAAGCAAATAAAACAAATAACAGGGTACAATTTAGTTCCATTATTAAAAAATAATGTGTAAAAAATATGTGGAAATCGTATTTCATGTAGTTTTAGTCATCAGTAAGTCTGACATGCCTGAGCGGGAAAAGTCATTTGATGACTTTCTCGTCACAAAAAAGCTTGTCTTCGTGCTGAGATATATATAACGTCGCTAGCAGTCTTACTTTACCTGTATCAACAAAATAATGAAAAACTAGATACATATCATAGGAAAAAGAAAATGAAGAAATCCTGAACATTTAGATTCGTACAGAACTCGAGCAGAATAAAGAAAATTGCCTACTTATCAACGAGCTCGAAGAAGAATCTCAATTGACCGCACTAAATCGAACAAAAACAGTAGTCCACTTAGGGAAGAATAAAAATAAACAACATTTTTCAATTGGCATACTTCCACAGCACAAGTTTCTGGGAAACAAAAGTACTAGTACGGGGTTACTGCACACAATTGCAGTATACTGCATTTATTGAAGCGAAAAATTGGGGTACTGCCAATTTTATTTTTCAATTCCCATCGTATGGTACAGTGGTGTATATTAGGCCGTGCTTTCATTAAGCGTGGTCCCATATGGTGCTGAACAACTACTTCCAAAGATTAGTGAAATTCTTGCCGAGTTTTATCGCAACGGTGCGTGATTTCGATGGTCTTGATGCTTTGCCAAGATTGTATGAAGTACTGTACCAATCGTCTGTTCCGTATTGGTGTTTGTATGCAGTAAGTATCGGTAAAACATGAACGTTAATAGGTGGTAAGTTTGTTTTTTATTTCCATTTCTTTTATTCATCTTTATTGCAGGTTGTTTGTTCTTTTTTTCTACTCTTTATGAGTAAATTTGTATGATTCGTTACATATTCACGTAAAACTATATCGATAGGATTAATTAACACACTTTCTATTTCTTCTGTTTATTAATACTAATACTTTAAGTTTAGTTCTTGCGAATTCAAGGCACGCTATTCTTTAATTTCACAATATTACAACGTTTCAATATTAGGAACACTTTAACAAAATGTAATAAAAACATCTTTATAATAAATCATACTCATTTTCAAACCAACAATTGAATAACGGAAAAATAATTTTCAATAACAACACCTACATTCAATTTTAAGTTTCGAACGTATTTTTAAATTTAAATCACGAACGCGTGTTGTCTATTAATTTTTCTCCCGAGTTTATTTCATAAATTGAAATTGCAACACAGCCAGTCTTTTTTTTAATTCGACCCTTTTGCGCGCCCACACAGCCTCGGGCAAAACAACGCTCAAAATGTAGATAAAACATTTTCCAACTTGAGGTTCTTAACTAAATAAAATGATACTGCCATTATAAGAGTTGTACTTAACTCTGGATAGAACTTGGTGAAACAAGAAGATTGTTAAATGCTTTTATGCATACTAGAATTTCCTCGCATGTTTTTAGATTACAAGAGTGTTTCTGTTTTTAAACATTATTTTTTCTGGTGGTCCAACTTTTTGAAGGCTTGACTACCATTTAAAAAGCACCTAAAATAAGTTTATTGTGCAAAGGACTATGAAGATCCTTTCATTGGATAATAAATGATTGATTTTAAGTGCGATTTTATAGATTAGCGATGGTCAAAGTCGACAAATCAATCTAACTACGGATAGAGGATAGTTAGATTGATTTTTGCCACAGTAACCTCCTTACTGTAGTAGTATTAATTTGCAAAACTCACTGTCTAGGTGTAAGTGTGGGAGAGCTATCCTTCGGCACAAAGAGGTATCAAGAAATCGATATGAAACAAGGCTTCCAAACATTTTTTTTATTTCTAAACCAGCACAGCATTGCCGAACTTTTTAAGGACTCATTTAGCATCTTATTATTTTACCCACATGGCGAAACACAAGGCAGGCGCTGTTTCACTCCGGTTTCCTGTGAGGCATCACTTCAGTTGAGCTCGCACGAGCCGGGGCTGCGAGGTAAGCGCAATAAGGTACCTCAGATTCGACTTTCTGCCTTTCGTCTCAACCTGGACAAGAGAAGTCCTTTTGTTATTTTCAAAAGACTAGAAGAGACAGAAGAAACTCAAAAGAGCCCATTCGTGCCGAGGCATAGCATGGCTGTCCCTCGCGTCTGTATATAAAACAAACATAATATAAAACATGAATTGTTTGTGCTTATAACCAGACATCACCAATTTCAATACGGTATTTATCACACACACTCTTCCTTGCCAAGTAAATCGAACGCGTGTGTTTGACGCCAATAGTGAGTTCAATAGCTTTGGTTTAATTAATTGTGTAATGAATATACATATCCAATTAACCAATTTAATTAATTTCACTGTAAATTTTACTTTGTGTTTGGGCAAGCTTTCCTCGAATTGTGAAATCTGATTTCCGAGTTTAATCATTCGTATTTGTTTTTTTAATAAGTTCGTTTGGTTGGGGTAGTGTGTAAATGGCATCTGATGATACCGTCGTGAAAGTTTTACAATTATATAACAAGCAGGATTTATGACTGTAAATTATCAAAACTAATATTCACGATTATTTGTGATTAGTTTCATAATCTGCCAAATCGAGTTAGTCAACTGTGGTATCTTTTTTTTTGTGAGGGGAAAATCATCAAATGACTTCTCCCGCCCAGGGAAGGGCGGAGGGAGTGTCAGACTCTTACTGACTAAAAACCCCCCTGTTCCTTCTCCTGCTCTGGGCCGAGGTCGCGGTGCCTCATTGCGCTTACCCCGCAACCCCGGCTGAACTGTGGTATCTATGAAACAATTCTGGGTACGTTCTCTGAAAAAACTACTGCTATTGAAAATACAAAAACCAATCCTTCAATTACTTTACACCCATTATTATAGAGGCATAAACTGCTGGAATTTTGAACATACTAATTGAAAACTTTCGTAATATTTCTCGTACCAATTCTAGATTGTTCTAGAAAGTCAATCATGCAAATAAAAGGGATTATTTTAGGCTTATGTGAAGTTGGGCTCTCTTTCTGCGGGCTGGGGTCGACCCATTTAATTTATCGCTGTATTATAGGAATGTACTTATAAGTAATATCTACCAACTCTTTAATTTCTGCTTCTTCTTTTTTATGAAGACAATGTGATGTTAACTTAAAAGTTACAACTTAAAATATATACATTCCTGAGCAAAGGTAGCCTGAGGTAATCAAAATCAGACAGGAGATGACGCGAAGCGTTCCGTGCACACCTGAAAGACAGACAAGGGTCCGATGATCAGCGGGGATAAATAATAAGTCTCGGCCTGGAACAGGAGAAGGAACATTGGGGTTTTCTTGCCAAACACCCTCTTTCGCCTTACCGTGGGCGATAGAAGATATTCGTTATTTTCTTCTCTCAGCAAAACACAAAAACACAAGTTAATAAGTCTTTTAGCCTAAATGTATGGGCCGTCATGTTAACAAAATGCTGTTTACACAAATACCCAATTAGAACTTAAATGACATCGCACAACCAACCCCAATGCGCCACAAGCGAGCAGTTACAAAAACAGTGTAAATAACCTATTTAAGCAAATTATAAAGAGGAAAAAAGCTATGAGGAAAAATAAAATAGAAAAAATGTCCCCCCCTGTCAAATGTATTTGTCACGACAGTGCAAGTAAATTATGAGTTTTTAACACCATCTTACCCCCATCTGTCTGCGATCCGTAGCTAAGAATAACCAAGTGTCGCCGAGTCAGACACCGAAGCCATCAATCATCCGCCAACATCCAAGTGGTTGCCCAGATAATACAGAGTTGATTCACTGCGTATCTACTTGACAACAGTGGTATCACGCACACATCAACACAGGTGCTCCAATTGGTCGATGCGCCCAGAAATGTCAACTGCATGCGTTTGTGAATGTGTGCGTTGTTCACAGTTGAGTCCCGGGTAGCAGTGTAAGTGTGGATTTGTAAGACTTGTGGGGAAACGGATAAGTTCACTTGATGTTTTTGCTCCCCTCTCTGTCCGAAGCAGATGAGGTTCAAGCAAATAGCCAGACAAATGATAGACATGACAAATTGTTTGATGCTACATAATTCTGTTGTTTCGCTAATTTGCTTTGTAACTTTTCATTGTTTTTTTAAACGATAGATCGTTTTATCATAATTTACAATGGAATAATCAAATTCAAATGTATTTCCAAAAACAAATTTGAAATTAGTTTCAAATATTTTTATCTTTTAGATGTCGTACGGATTTATTGAATCCTTTGATTCATGCGAACAATAAAAATGAAAAATGGCGCCCAACGTGGGACTCACGATTTTAATCTCCATCGATTACTTCTTCACATTTGAAATATCACATTGATAGTGTCATGCAATCGTATATGAAAATAGACTTGATGAAATAAATTTCAAAGGAAATGTTATAGTACATATGGAGGTTGATATTCTTTAAACTAGTATGTCGTTGTAATATATGCCGTTCGCCTCCAATTTTATAATCAGAACCACTAAGAAGAGGAATTCTTTGTAGCAGTCTGTGGTCCCTAAAGGGCTATAAGCCTGGATGTCTTCAAGGCCTGAGGGAATAGGTTGCTTCAGATGGTAGGCGTGCTCCATCGCATCATCGCTCACCAACAAGCGTGATAGCGGCCAAATGCCTACGCTGAATAAAAAAATACACTGAATATATAACATAAAAATATTGTGAATTGTTTTTTCCTATGGCATAGAACGGTAAACGAGCAGATGGGAAACCTGATGGTAAACAATTGGCGCCGCTCATGGACACTCGCAACCAGTACGTTGTCGGACTTGCCTCCACATTAGGGTTTGGAAGATTGGGAAACAATTGAGGGAGGGCGAGAATTGGGCTTTCGGTAACCTTACTCACACGGTGAAATACAATGCAGTGTTTGTTTTCGCCGGTTTTCTGTAAGGCCGTGATATCACTTTCAAAATTGGACTCTAATGATAAATAGATAGAAATAGAACGTTACAGGAAAAAATGTTAAGTCAGCTCAACTCATCTGAACATGACCACACCGACCACGTTATAATATTGCGTGCACTTATAATAAATTTTATCTTATGCGCGCATCCACGTCTCCGCTCCAAAGTCCAATGAATAATGTATACCGTTTGGCTTTTCATCGTATTCAAATGATATGAAGTTGTTATTTTTTGTTGGAAGCTTGCCTTGAGACCGGACATTTCATATATTAAGCCTTACACTATTTACTGCATGCTAAATTACTCTTTTCCGGTTTTTGATTTGTGTAAAAATATTTGTCTGATAGTTTTAACCAGATTTATTCGTATAAGAATCTTAGATTTTGCTGGTGCATTTTTATTTTAAATTTTCTTCGAAATCAATTATACCTCAGTAAAGGCATTACAAAAACAACGTTACCACATATTTGGATTTTTCCTGTGTCATGAGAGCATTAACAAACATACAATTCCACATACCCCTATGTATGCTTAAATGTTTAAAACTACGCAATTGATTTTGATAGATAGATAGTGGAAAAAAGCAGAAATTAAGTATCAGTATTGCAACCGGGTCGCTAGTCTCATATTAAATCTGAATAGATAAAATCGCTAGAAACCAACAATGAAACAATTAAAAATATATTGGTTTTATTTCTATGCTAACAGTTCTTTCTAATAACGTTGAAGCATCTGATTTTAGTGTCTATCAAAATCAAATAAAGGATCTTTTTCTTAACACACACTAGTTAACATGCCGTTTTATTACCTCTAAAATAACATAAACACCAAACACTATCCAAATAACTTCAAACCATTTCAAAAAAAGAATAAAAGCCAAATAATATAACGAAAAAAATTAACAGCCATTTTAAGTTTGCCCTATGCCACTCAAACAATGTGATGGACGCCACAAAGATTTTTAAGGATCCGTACACATAAAATGTGTGACAAAGTAACCGCGTTCGGTTCCACGATAAACTGAAATCGTTTCAGGTCGTTGAACTGGAACGCTTGATAGTGGCCAAAACGGCTTCATAAAAATATATAGGTCCCTCTGTCTTTCCATTACTCGCTTTTTGGACAGATGGTTATCATTTTAAATCAAATCTTTTGTTGGAATTTGAGTGTTCAGATCTTTTTAACTTCTTGGTATAACAGTTTTGTTGCTGTATGATTTATTAGGAGATGGTAATTTTAAACCAAATTTGAGGCTATCTATTGCGTAGCAATATCATCATCGTCATCATCGTCAGCCTATAAGTGCCCACTGCTGAGCAAAGGCCTCTTCTCACACGGAGAAGGCTATAGAGCATTGATCACCACGCTTGCTCAATGCAAGTTGGCGATTTCAGACTTATAATTATAAATTATAAGTATAATTATAAATTATAAGTCCAGGTTTCCTCACGATGTCCTTGATGACCTTCACCGTATATCAGTGGTGTCTAAATAATCATAGAACGTACATTTAACTCGGAAAAATTCACATTGGTACTTGCCGGGTTTCGAACCCACACCTCATGCATGAAAAGCGGGCGCCTTAACCTCCGGGCCACCACGACATGACAATAACCTAGATAAAACTAAAATAGATTTAGTACTTAAATTCCCTTCCTGATAATTGAATTCTGATTTCCAGGGTCGGATTTATTATCACAATTTTCTTACTCCTAATGTGTGTTCTTATGCCTTGATGTTTTGTTATGAAACTTAATCTTCTTCAATATTTACGGATGAAATAAGTTCATAATATTTATTAAACACGTCGAGAGACCTTACAACAATAAAATACATTTAATATTTCAAGTACAAGCTTCCATCGCCAACAAGCATCTCTTCATAAACAAAGCAACGCTGACATCTACAACGTTATCGCTGTTAAGAGGCTCTTTGTTTCTGTTCTAGAACATTCGCAGCTTCGTCGCGATGTTGGCAACTGCCCCGTGGAAGTTGCCAGAATCTGCCTGACCATTCAAACTAATGAACAGCTTTTGAACCAAAGTCGCTGCCGTATCTTGTTGAGGTGATGGTGCTGAATATAATTTTACTCCTTAGGTCTAATTTTTCAATGTTTGTATAAGACAGTGACAGCAACATTTTTATTCCTCGGATAGCATTTAGCTGACTATTGAAAAATCAGCCCTAACATTGTTAAATATTTTTCAAACCATAAATAAAATCTGTAACTAGTTTTGTTTGATTTTTATGAGACTATAAAGTATAAACTAATATTTTGTGAGATTTGAGACATTTGGTTCTGTTCACTACATTCAGCATAAAAGCCGCCTTCGAGCCGTCGTCGTACAAAATTGTGAATAGAATAATGGAATGTCCATATCAAATAAGTAAACAGCTTCAACAGTTTTTATTTATTTTTTAGGCACATCACAAATATATTTACTGAAATCTAAATTAAACTTTAATAGTTATCACCTAAGGATCACTATTCTAAGCTCTAATATAAATAATAATATAAAAAATATTGTCGTCATAAATAGATAAGTCATGCAAACGTATGATTGGCCAATATAGTTCCGTCCCAAGCTCTCATGTCGATCTTCTTCATCGTTTGTTTGACGGTCGTATATACTTTTATTGTTGCGATCAGTTCTGCAGGATTGCCGATCCAGAGTACCAGGTTCACTCTTGTCCGCACTATTAGAGATTCGTATGTAAATGGTATTCTTGGCAAATTTTCTAAGTGTAGTATTAATTTTCTGAACGGACTGCGACCCTGAAAATCAGATAACATAATAATGTTGATGAATTATTTTCCACTTGATTTCAGTCCAAACTTATTGATGGGTGACTCACGCGAATATTTGTGTATTCACATTAGGGGCCTTTCCTGTATAGTGGGTTTTTTTGTGACCAAAATGACTTCCCCCGCCCAGGGTGGAGCGGGAGGGAGTGTCAGACTCTAACTGACTAAAAATCCCCTGTTCCTTCTCCTGCTCTGGGCCGAGGTCGCGATGCCTCATTGCTCTTACCCCGCAACTCCGGCTTTCTGTATAGTGGGTGCGTTTACAAACATACAAATTCACATACACAAGCGACCCAAACCCGAAACAATAATTTGTGGATCACACAAAGTGTTGTTCCGTGCGGGAATCCAACCAGTGACACATAAGCAAAGAGTCACCCAGTCACTGCGATATAAATATCCTTTGGTGTTACGAAAGTCTATGGGTGGCGTCGATGGCTTACCATCAGGTAATCGGCGTGCTCGTTTGCCGACCTAACTCCTAAAAAATAATAATATGTAGGGACAAAGAAAGCGTCTTTATTTTATACTTTGTAGTAATAACAGTCGTTAATTTCGACCAACTCGTTTTCACTATTGATAAGAGAGGTTTTCAATTGTTTTTGTTTAAAATGAAAAGTACTTACTGCAGGAAAAGGACAGGTCCAGTTCGGAGGCAATTGTTTTGCGTACATCTGCCCTAAGAAAGGATCCTTATAAAAAAAGTCACAGAGTTTATATTCGAACTGCACTGGTACCTGTACATAGCGTCCACTTATGTACTCGAACAGTACCCATTTCACCTGAAATATAACAGAAGTAAATGCATATTATTATGATTGAGAATATATGACGGGAAACTGGATGGAGAAGGAGAGAGTAACAGTTTCGTTGTGTTTCGCTGTTTGAGTGAGGTTATTGGTTTTTTTATTATAAATTTCGTGAGACATTTTAAATTAATTATTATGTTTTCGGCGTACTCACGTAATAATAAGTAGCAGCGCAACATCGCCGCGTCGCGTGTCGCGGAATGCTGCTCATGAATATCGGCCTCTAGCATGCCTTGAAACTAGTCGAGTATCTCGTCAAATAATTACGTGAGTAAGCCGAAAACATAATAATTAATGAAAATTATTGGTGTCCCAAACCAACGTTTCCTTCCAGACCTATTCCCCAAAACTCAAACTCAAGACCTCCAAAAGGCTGGCAATGTATTCGTTACGCCTCTGGTATCCTGGTGTCTATAAGCGGCGATGCTGCGATCACATCATTCCTTTCTGGGATATTGTAGGCTTCAGTCGTATTATGTAGAAGCAGTTAATAAGAGATCATACCGAAACATTATTCCCGTATCCACAAGTTGAGTAGAAATCGAAATTGATGTAGTAAGGACTGTTACGACTACTCTTTCGAAATGTAAATTTCAGGTTTTTGAAATATTTGTTGTTGCCTAGCGTTGTTTCAAGCTTCTCTGGATATACTTCTGTAGCCTGAAATAAATATATAATTATTTATATTAACATTAAAATGTTTTTTTATCTTGTTGTTCCCAACTCTAAGTTAGCAAACCTTTTTGCGTTACTCAGAGTAATTAATTAGAGTTTAATATATGTAAGGTTTTGTTGATGACACTAAATTGTATGTTTAGTATCATTCAGTATTTTTACTACAATAGGACATAATGAAAGATTTAGAAAATCTCAAACTTGTTGCCCTATTTTCCCATGAGACGAGATAGACGAGTTAATTAAACCTAAAACTTACCACTACAATGTGTACAGCGCAAATTAAAAACAACAAAAGGCTCTTCATTTTAAAACCAGACTATTTAACAATGCGATATGCAGGAAAATACACGACTTATTGGTTCGAAATGTCGAACAATATTAATATGAACTTAAATAAAAAAAAAAAAGCAATCGAAAACTGCAATCAAGTGCAATTAAATGTATATTAGAACGGTTAGCAATGCATTTTTTACACATCAATTACACCTTATCTAGATTCTTCATCTAATCAACAACAGTCTGCGGCAGCCCACTGCAGCTGGACTATACACCCTTTCTACGTAGACTCATCATCAGACTTTGAGTACCCACTGCTGAGCAAAGTCCTCTTCTCACACGTATGATTACGCTTATTCACAGCGTATATGCGATTCCTAATATAATTTTTATTAGTAATTACAAGTCCAGTGTCCATAGGTCATAATTATAAGAGTTTCCCCTGCTTCCAGCACCCAGGGCAATAAAATTAATTTTGATGATTTGATTTGGTGATGTAACCCCGTCGAATAAAACAAAGGAATACCTACCTTCCGCTCTTCCAATTAAAGTTCATAAAATAACACTTCTGTGTTTATAAAAAAATATATATTCCTTATAGGTATGTAGCTCATCATCTTTTGAAGCTCTTTCTATCATAATATAAAAATTGCTTTCAAGCGGAGTACATGAATCATATAAAAAGTGTAATGAAGAATTAATGCGAAATTAATAGTTGAAATGGTGAGTACCTATATAATACATGGTCATTTTAATGATACAAATTTATAATATACATAGCTCTTTGTATCATTATAATTATGTTTAATATGACTTTGTAATGGTTTTATTCATTCCTACAAACATTCATAGCTAAAAGACATGTACCCTCGAAGATATTATGAAACCACGCCTCTGGCGTGAATAGACCGGCTCGACTAGAGTGACACAACGCTAAGGTTGTATTTCGTCATTCTTTACCCTTCCATCCGCAATCCTTATAAAGTAACAGCCCACAAAAGGCTACCAACGCACTTGTAAATTCTTTGGTTTTGTTGGTAACCATGAGCCAGCCATCCGTATAAGATATCGCAGCCCCAGCCCGAAACAAAAGAAAGAACAGGAAGGAGAGGATAATAAGAACAGGGTGATTTTAGTCAGAAACATTTCCCCTTAAAAATGTATTCAATATCCATGAGCGGAGCCGATTACTTACTATCGGGTGCAACGACTCCCCGTTTTGTCGACTTATCCCATAAAAAAGTTGTGTCATGTGAAAATGTCAGTTATCATGTCAATATCTTCCTACTCAAACGTAGTATGTGCGTCTTTCTAGTATTTAAAAATGCGAAAATATAGTAGTAGTAGTAGTAGGATGTATGGATAAAGAATTACAAGACAGTCTGCATAGTTATTTTGGTTTGAGTAAATCATCATCATCATCAGCCTGTTGTCGTCCACTGCTGGACATAGGCCTCCCCAATTGCACGCCACTGAGCTCGATGTTCAGCTCTTCTCATCCAACCACTGCCAGCCACCCTGCGGATGTCGTCAGTCTACCTAGCTTGAGGGCGCCCTACACTACGTTTGCCTAGACGTGGTCTCCACTCTAGATCACAGAACAGTTTGAGTAAATGTGTATACTTAATAGAGAGACAATAGCTACTGTTACAGTAAATTAACTTGGTTTTAACCAAGTCACAATTCTTTTCTAACAACTTGCTGCGTCGTACATTTGAGTTTTTCATTATTTTTGTTTTGAAGCTTCTAGTTTGACATGTCCAATATGCCTTGAGAAATTTTTGTTAGGGTCAGAAAAGGCTATTGCTCAGTAGTGGGTACTTTCAGGCGTTAATTTTATGTCAGGAAGATAATGTCAGACACTTACTGCCTAGAACCCCCGTTCCGTCTTCTGCTCTAGGCCGAGACCGCGGTGCCTTCTTATTGCAAACCCGGCTGACACTTATAGGCTGATGGGGAATTCTATAATTGGGGAATTCTATAATTTAGTTGCAGTAGACTGCCGCGGCTTATTGACGACTAGATGAACAATCTCGATAAGGTGTGATTGCTTTGTAAAAAATGCATTATCCACCATTCTGATATACATTTAATTGTACTCGGTTGCAGTTTTTGTTGCTGGTAAGTTCATATTAATATTGTATGATATTTCGAAATAATACGTTGTGTATGTTACTGCACGTCACATAGTTAAAACGGCTGGGTTAAAAATGAGGGGCTTTTTTATGTTATTAGTTTGTGCTGCACACATTGCTATGGTAAGTTTTTTGTTTTATTTACTCGTGTGTCATGTCACGTGGAAATTAGGGGAAACAAGTTTGAGATTTTCCAAATTATTCACTATGTCCTGTTGTAATAAATTTTATGAATGGATATAGATATTTCAGATTTTCTAAATATTGAATTTATCAATCAACAAAACCATACAGATATTAAAGTCTTATTACCTGCCGCAGTCGAAATTAGTTAACTACACAATGCACAACATTTAATTTATTTTATTTTGAATGAATCTAAGTAAAGTAACGGACCGAACTAAACTAAGCAACCAGTAAACAACATAAAATTACCTTGAGTGAAATGATTCGCCCAAAAGAATTTGGTGAACAATAATTTAAATATCAATAAAAACTATATTTTTTATATTTCAGGCTACAGAAGTGTATCCAGAGAAGCTTGAAACAACGCTAGGCAACAACAAATATTTCAAAAACATCAAGTTTACGTTTCGAAAGAGTAGTCGGAACAGTCCTTACTACATCACCTTTGATTACCATTCAACTTGTGGATACGGGAATAACGTTTCGGTATGATCTCTTGAAAAGATATGCTTGCCGTTATACACCTTTTTTTATTTAAGCCATTTACTGCCGACAGAAATCTTTTTTGAAGGCAAATCCTCCGCTACTGTCGGTCACCAGTGACTTGCGAGGTCACCCATGGACGCCAACCATATTATAGGAGTATAGTTACTTATAATTACTTATATCGTTACACGATAAACTGAAATCGTTTCAGGTCGTTGAACTGGAACGCTTGATAGAGGCCAAAACGGCTTCATAAAAATATATAGGTCCCTCTGTCTTTCCATTACTCGCGTTTTGGACAGATGGTTATCATTTTAAATCAAATCTTTTGTTGGACTTTGAGTGTTGGGATTTCTTTAACGTTTTGGTAAAACTTTTTTGTAGCTGTATTATTTACAAGAAGATGTTAATTTTGAGCCAAATTTATTGCTTAGCAATAACCTTGATATAACTTAAATAGATTTAGCACTTAAATTCCCTTCCTGATAAATGCATTCTGATCTCGATGTTCGGATTTTTCATCGCAATTTTCTTAGTCCTAATGTGTGAATGTCTTATTATGCCTATTGTTATGAAATTGATAAGAATCTTAAACTTCCTTAATATTTACACAACACAACAATAAAATACATTTAATATTTCAAGTACAAGCTTCCATCGCCAACAAGCATCTCTTCATAAACAAAGCAACGCTGACATCTACAACGTTATCGCTGTTAAGAGGCTCTTTGTTTCTGTTCTAGAACATTCGCAGCTTCGTCGCGATGTTGGCAACTGCCCCGTGAAAGTTGCCAGAATCTGCCTGACCATTCAAACTAATGAACAGCTTTTGAACCAAAGTCGCTGCCGTATCTTGTTGAGGTGATGGTGCTGAATATAATTTTACTTTTTAGGGCTGATTTTTCAATGGTTTGATAAAAATTATCTGGGGCATAATTATGATGCTGTCGCGTCAGAATGTTTGTATAAGACAGTGACAGTAACAATTTTATTCCTCGGATAGCATTTAGCTGACTATTGAAAAATTAGCCCTAACTCGTTAAATATTTTTCAAATCATTCATAAAATCTGTAGCTAATTTTGTTTGATTTTTATGAGCCTATAAACTATAAACTAATATTTTGTGAGTTTTGAGACATTTGGTTCTGTTCGCTACATTTAGCAGAAAAGCCGTCGTCGAGTCACTGCCACAATCATTTATTTATTTAGTTTTTTCAAGAACATAATTTTACTTTGTATTCCAAAGTATAACTATAAAAAATAGTGATATCAAATAAGTAAACAACTTTAATAGTTTTTATTTATCTATTTATTATTTATGCACTTCACAAATATAGTAGTAAATGGAAAAACAAATACAGGATCAGAGGTGCATAGGTGCTTTTATGCATATTGACTGAAATCTAAATTAAACTTTAATAGTTATCACCTAAGGATCAATATTCTAAGTTCTAATCAAATAATCTTATAACCTAATAAGATGAAAAGTATGTTGTCACAGTAAGCAAACTCATGCAAACGTATGATTGGCCAAAATAGTCCCGTCCCAAGCTCTCATGTCGATCTTCTTCATCGTTTGTTTGACGGTCGTGTAGACTTTTATTGTTGCGATCAGTTCTGCAGGATTGCCGATCCAGAGTACCAGGTTCACTCTAGTCCGCACTATTAGAGATTCGTATGTAAATGGTATTCTTGGCAAATTTTCTAAGTGTAGTATTAATTTTCTGAACGGACTGCGACCCTGAAAATCAGATAACATAATAATGTTGATGAATTATTTTCCACTTGATTTACAATCAGTCCAAACTTATTGATGGGTGACTCACGCGAATATTTGTGTATTCACATTAGGGGCCTTTCCTGTATAGTGGGTTTTTTTGTGACCAAAATGACTTCCCCCGCCCAGGGTGGAGCGGGAGGGAGTGTCAGACTCTAACTGACTAAAAATCCCCTGTTCCTTCTCCTGCTCTGGGCCGAGGTCGCGATGCCTAATTGCTCTTACCCCGCAACCCCGGCTTTCTGTATAGTGGGCGCGTTTACAAACATACAAATTCACATACACAAGCGACCCAAAACCGAAACAACAATTTGTGGATCACACAAAGTGATGTTCCGTGCGGGAATCCAACCAGTGAGACGTTGCTTGGCAGATAGTCACCCAGGCACTGCATATAAATATCCTTTGGTGTTACGAAAGTCTATGAGTGGCGTCGATGGCTTACCATCAGGTAACCGGCGTGCTCGTTTGCCGACCTAACTCATAAATATAGGGACAAAGAAAGCGTCTTTGTTTTATACTTTGTAGTAATAACAGTCGTTAATTTCGACCGACTAGTTGTCACTATTGATAAAAGAGATTTTCAGTTGTTGTGGAAAGTACTTACTGCAGGAAAAGGACAGGTCCAGTTGGGAGGCAATTGTTTTGCGTACATCTGCCCTAAGAAAGGATCCTTATAAAAAAAGTCACAGAGTTTATATTCGAACTGCACTGGTACCTGTACATAGCGTCCACTTATGTACTCGAACAGTACCCATTTCACCTGAAATATAACAGAAGTAAATGCATATTATTATGATTGAGAATATATGACGGGAAACTGGATGGAGAAGGAGAGAGTAACAGTTTCGTTGTGTTTCGCTGTTTGAGTGAGGTTATTGGTTTTTTTATTATAAATTTCGTGAGACATTCTAAATTAATTATTATGTTTTCGGCGTACTCACGTAAGAATAAGTAGCAGCGCAACAGTCGCCGCGTCGCGTGTCGCGGAATGCTGCTCATGAATATGGGCCTCTAGCATGCCTTGAAACTAGTCGAGTATCTCGTCAAATAATTACGTGAGTAAGCCGAAAACATAATAATTATTTGAGGTTATTTGTGTCCCAAACCAACGTTTCCTTTCAGACCTATTCCCCAAAACTCAAAATTCAGACCTCCAAAAGGCAACGTATTTGTTACGCCTCTGGTATCCTGGTGTCTCTAAGCGGCGATGCTGCGATCACATCATTCCTTTCCGGGATATTGTAGGCTTCAGTCGTATTATGTAGAAGAAGTTAATAAAAGATCATACCGAAACATTATTCCCGTATCCACAAGTTGAGTAGAAATCGAAATTGATGTAGTAAGGACTATTACGACTGCTCTTTCGAAATGTAAATTTCAGGTTTTTGAAATATTTGTTGTTGCCTAGCGTTGTTTCAAGCTTCTCTGGGTATACTTCTGTAGCCTGAAATAAATATATAATTATTTATATTAACATTAAGATGTTTTATATCGTATTGTTTCCAACTCCTAGTTAGCAACCTTTTTGCGTTACTCAGAGTTATTTTATTATTACTTATCCTAGTACTTAGCAAGTTATTCAACGAAAAATGAATTAATAAATAATTAATTTCGAGACCGGTAGTTAATGAGACTTTAATATATGCAAGGTTTTGTAAATTCTATTTTTAGTATCATTCGGTATTTTTACTACAATAAACATTAGGACATAATGAAAGATATACAAAATCTCAAACTTGTTGCCCTATTTTCCCATGAGACGAGATAGACGAGTTGGTAAAACCTAAAACTTACCACTACAATGTGTACAGCGCAAATTAAAAACAACAAAAGGCTCTTCATTTTAAAACCAGACTATTTAACAATGCGATATGCAGGAAAATACACGACTTATTGTTTCGAATTGTCGAACAATATTAATATGAACTTAAATAAAAAAAAGAAAGCAATTGAAAATTGCAATCGAGTGCAATTAAATGTATATTAGAATGGTTAGCAATGCATTTTTTACACATCAATTACACCTTATCAACATTTTTCATCTAATCAACAAAAGCCTGTGGTCCGCTGCAGCTGGACAATACACCCCTTCAACGTAGACTCATCATCAGACTTTGAGTACCCACTGCTGAGCAAAGGTCTCTTCTCTTACGTATGATTACGCTTATTCACAGCGTATATGCGATTCTTAATATAATTTTCATTAGTAATTATAAGTCCAGTCTCCATAGGTCATATAAGAGTTTCTCGAGGGATGTGCCGTCACAGGCGTTTCACCGTGTGGGTTCCGGAGTAGGTCTCTTGTAGAGGACCCGGTGCCCCTTACAGGTGATGAGGGTGGCCACCAGGGTGGTTTAAATAACGTAAAAATCCCACACTCCCTAGTCTTTCTCCCCAAAAAGCTAGTCGCCTTTTGAAGGTTCCACCGTTACAAAAAAAAAGGTCATATAAGATTTCGATGATTTGGTAATGAAATCCCGTCGAATAAAACAAAGGAAAACCTACCTTCCGCTCTTCCCATTAAAGTTTATAAAATATTACTTCTGTGTTTATAAAAAAATATATATTCCTTATAGCTCATCATCTTTTGAAGGACTATTTATCATAATATAAATATTGCTTTTATGCGGAGTACATGAATCATATAAAAAATGTAATGAAGAATTAATACAAAATTAATAGTTGGAATGGTGAGTACCTATATAATACATGGTCATTTTAATGATACAAATTTATAATGACATAGCTCTTTGTATCATTATAATTATGTTTGATATGACTTTGTAATGGTTTTATTCATTCCTAGAAACATTCATAACTAAAATAGGCCTCTGGCGTGAATAGACCGGCTCGACCAGAGTGACACAACGCTAAAGTTGTATTTCGTCATTCTTTACCCTTCCATCCGCAATCCTTATAAAGTAACAGCCCACAAAAGGCTACCAACGCACTTGTAAATTCTTTGGTTTTGTTGGTAACCATGAGCCAGCCATCCGTATAACATACCACAGCCCCAGCCCGAAGCAAAAGAAACAACAGGAAGGAGATGATAATAAGAACAGGGTGATTTAAGTCAGAAATATTTCCTCTAAAAAATATATCCAATACCCATGAGCGGCGCCGATTACTTACCATCGCGTGAATCGTTTCCCCGGTTTGTCAACTTATCCCAAAAAAAGTTGTCTCATGAACAAATTTTACTTATCATTTTAATATTTTCCTACTCAAACGTAGTACGTGCGTCTTTCTAGTATTTAAAAATGCGAAAATATAGTAGTAGTAGTAGGATGTATGGATGAAGAATTACAAGACAGTCTGCATAGTTATTTTGGTTTGAGTAAATCATCATCATCATCAGCCTGTTGTCATCCACTGCTGGACATAGGCCTCCCCAATTGAACGTCACTGAGCTCGATGTTCAGCTCTTCTCATCCAACCACTGGCAGCCACCCTGCGGATGTCGTCAGTCCACTTAGCTGGAGGGCGCCCTACACTACGTTTGCCTAGACGTGGTCTCCACTCTAGAACACAGAACAGTTTGAGTAAATGTATATACTTAATAGAGAGACAATAGCTACTGTTACAGTAAATTAACTTGGTTTTAACCAAGTCACAATTCTTTTCTAACAACTTGCTGCGTCGTACATTTGAGTTTTTCATTATTTTTGTTTTGAAGCTTCTAGTTTGACATGTCCAATATGCCTTGAGAAATTTTTGTTAGGGTCAGAAAAGGCTATTGCTCAGTAGTGGGTACTTTCAGGCGTTAATTTTATGTCAGGAAGATAATGTCAGACACTTACTGCCTAGAAACCCCCGTTCCGTCTTCTGCTCTAGGCCAAGACCGCGGTGCCTTCTTATTGCGCTTACCTCGCAACCCCGGCTGACACTTATAGGCTGATGATGAGACCATAATTGGGGAATTCTATAATTTAGTTGCACTAGACTGCCGCGGCTTATTGACGACTAGATGAACAATCTCGATAAGGTGTGATTGCTTTGTAAAAAATGCATTGTTCACCATTCTAATATACATTTAATTGTACTCGATTGCAGTTTTTGTTGCTGGTAAGTTCATATTAATATTGTATGAGGTTTCAAAATTAAACGTTGTGTATGTTACTGCTCGTCATATAGGTAAAACGGCTGGGTTAAAAATGAAGGGCTTTTTTATGTTATTAGTTTGTGCTGCACACATTGCTATGGTAAGTTTTTCGTTTTATTTACTCGTGAGTCACGTCACGTGGGAATTAGGGCAACTAGTTTGAGATTTTCCAAATTCTTCATTATGTCTTATGGTAATAAAGCCCATGAATGACACTAAATATGGAATCTAGTGCCATCAATAAAACTATAGAGTTATGAAAGCCTCAGTAAATACTGAGAAACAAAAATGTTTATTTAAACCCATAGAAACGATTTGCTTCTACAGTCTAAGGACTGGGTTAAGTGACCATTATATTACTTTGAGTATGTCGAAAAGATTTGCCAGCTTGAAGATCGAAACACTGCGATCAAAAATTTTTAAATATCATTAAAATAATATCTTTTTTTATATTTCAGGCTACAGAAGTGTATCCAGAGAAGCTTGAAACAACGCTAGGCAACAACAAATATTTCAAAAACATCAAGTTTACGTTTCGAAAGAGTAGTCGGAACAGTCCTTACTACATCACCTTTGATTACCATTCAACTTGTGGATACGGGAATAACGTTTCGGTATGATCTCTTGAAAAGATATGCTTGCCGTTATACATCTTTTTTTATTTAAGCCATTTACTGCCGACAGAAATCTTTTTTGAAGGCAAATCCTCCGCTACTGTCGGTCACCAGTGACTTGCGAGGTCACCCATGGACGCCAACCATATTATAGGAGTATAGTTTTTGACATTATAATCATCGAATTGATCTTCTGCCTTAGCTGTGGCACCCTTGCCATTATAAGTCAGTAGCAGTCTAGCAAAAGAATGTTATACTCTTACTGACTTAAAACTACCGTTCCTTCCCCTGTTCCGAGCCGGAGAGCCGTCTTATAGTGAAATGCCCACTAGGCTTTTTCCGAAAATAAAACCTGAGCTAGACTCTTTACGCATATTTTTTTCAGTAATCTTTATAAATGCAGTTTTCTTTGTAGTATATTCTTAATTCAAATGTGTATCTTATTTTTTTTTCAGATGAAATGGGTACTGTTCGAGTTTATAAGTGGCCGTTATGTGGAAATACCAGTGCGGTTCGAATATAAACTCTGTGACTTTTTTGATAAGGATCCCTTCTTTGGACAGATGTACGCTAAACAATTGCCTAGAAACTGGACTTGTCCTTTTCCTGCAGTGAGTACTTCATTTTACCCAAAGAATATTATTGAAACTAGTTTTAATAAACTTAATCAGCCTAAGGTAAAACTCATTTTACTTTAAATACAGAATCATTTAAAATTCCCGACTCCTTGCTGATGTGCACACACAATGATATCTATTTTCTTTAGCTTTGATATCAGCTCCTTTTAATAGGGGATTATCTTTACTTTATACTACTACAATAAAACCGATGCGTTTCTAGACTCTGTGCTAATACGAGATATTAAAATATGAAATTATATAGCGTACTATTTCTACAACCAACGGATAACTCATCCAAAATCTGTTTCTCAGAAGTAGTAAATACGGCCATTTTACCTATGTAATTTCAAATGGCTCAAAGAACCAATAGACCACCTCAGACGGGGCCCTATAGGGCTGATGCTCAGCCAGGGTTGCGGGGTAAGCGCAGATCAGGAGAAGGAAGGTTTTTTAGTCAATAAGAGTCTGACACTCTCGCCCTACGCTGGGCGGGAGAAGTGAATTGATGATTATCCCCTCACAAAAAAAAACTAATAATTAGTATAAATGAAAACTGAATCACACAACCCAATTCTTCCACTATACCTAAATCCCTAACAACCCACAAAAGGCCCACTTATTCTTCTTTTGTTTTTGCAATTATCCATGATCGGCGTCGATTGCTTAACATCAAGTGATCCGACAATTTGCCAACTAATCCCATAAAATAGACATTCTTGAATTAATTAAATATGATAGCTAAAGTTAGATACACAAAGAAATATATTGTCTTTCAGGGTCGCAGTCCCTTCAGAAAACTAATAATGCACCTAGAAAATTTGCCAAGAATACCATTTACATACGAATCTCTAATAGTTCGGACTAGAGTGAACCTGCTACTCTGGATCGGCAATCCTGCAGAACTGATCGCTTCAATAAAAGTCTACACGACCGTCAAACAAACGATGAAGAAGATCGACATGAGAGCTTGGGACGGAACTATATTGGCCAATCATACGTTTGCATGAGTTTATGTATTATGATTTTATTTGCAAGAATTGGTAAATAATAAAGATTTTTGTCACTAAAATGAAGATTTGATTTGTATTTATTCAGTTAACCCATTGAACGTCATGGAAAATAAGTTCGGGCCCCGCTAGGATGACGTGTTCCCAACTTTTAATAGACATTTTCATGTTCTGCGTTGTCCATCTTCATCTTCAAAAATATATCTTCTTGAAAATCGTGTTAACTGGAACAATTAATGACACTATAAGCGCGGGTCTTCGGACGACGAGCGAGGATACCTCGCCCCGCGATCAGAATCAGACCCGAGCGTACGGCGCATAGCGGTCTGCGCGCGCCTCATAGAACCAATAGACCCCTACACGGGGTTCAACAGGTCCGATGTTCAGAGGTCCCGCGGTCTGGAGCAAGAAAAGAAACATGGAAGGGGGTTAGTCAATAAGAATCTGACAATCTCTCTCGCCTTATAACCCTGGGTGAAAGAAGACATTTGATGATTTTTCCCTAACAAAAAAATCGGTAACAATGGATACTGTCTCTGAACTATCTAAGTCAATCTTTATTTTCTTATCTGCAAATAACTGTGCAGGTTATACAAATATGTTCATTAATTTTCCCAAAAAATTACAAAATCTAAATTAAAATTATGTTATAAAATAGTATATGTATGTATAGTTTGAAATGACGTATAGATAAGAGTCAGAGACATTTATCCCAGTGACGCGGGCGTAGCGACAGGCAATAGCTAGTATTTTTAAATTTAAATACACAACTAGCTGTTACGTAACGTGTCGCGGGTTTGATTACCGCATAGAACCACACTTTTTGTGATCCAGAAATTGTTGTTTCGGGTTTAGGTGGCTTGTGTATGCGAAATCGTTTGTAATTTATAAACGCACTTATGATGTAGGAGAAAATCGTAGTGTGGGGCAACGTTTTCTATGAATGAATCAGAACATAGTACCTAAATATTACTGGAATAAAAATACACATGTAAAGTTCACGTCATTTATATTTTAAATCCTTTTTCAATACTAATTCTTTATTATTATTAAGTTTGACGGCTTTATTCTTCTTTCCATCTTTTGGCTGCAATTTTTGAGTTATTCTTATAAAAGTTTTCCATCGGAACACTTCTTCGTTGGTGTGTGTGAAGACTCCTTGGACATCAGCTCGAGTGTGTACGATCATTGATGAATACGTAAACGGAATGGTGTAAGGGAAATTCTCCAAATGGATCGTCATGTTTACAAAATGGTATTCACCCTGAAAATAGATAAATTATCTATAGCAGGTACATACATATTTATGGGTATATAATATAGCAGATACATAATTATAGAAATATAACTACATTTCAATTCTACTGAGAAAGAATGGCCTTCGTTAGTTATATTGGTTTTCCAACATAATTTACAAATATAATAATAATGAATTAGGCGTTAATTGAGTTTGCCAGTTACCCCCTGCCTGTTCATCCGTATATATCAATATTGGTCAGGGACAGGGACCATAGTATTTCCATAAATATCATTAACTAGTCCATAGCCACTCACCCTCATAACCATATAATTTTTCAGCCATATTGTAAGTCCTGCATTAACCGAGGATTGTCCTTGTGTGCACTTTTATAGTGGATATAGGGATTATTGCCGACTGATGTCCTATCAGATTTAAATTAAAACTGTTCAACAGGCCTCTGCTACTTGGCTTCGGCCATTCGTACGCCTTGCATAGGTCCGGGATCCTGTGATCCCGTGAAAGGAAAGAACAAACAATCAATTAGGCGTTGAACTCATAGCCTAATGTTGCTGTTTATTCCGAATTTGTACAATTGTTTACAACTATATCTATTTTCTATCTTAAAAATAGTAATTTATAAAAACAATCATTTAATAACTAGTAATAAATATCAGAATTTATAATATTGATGTAGGCTTATAGTAAAATTAGATTGTTCAAGGACAATCCCCGGATAATGCAGGACGCATTATCCGGGGATTGTCCTTGTGTGCACTTTTATAGTGCATATAGGGATAATTGTCGGCTAATGTCCTATCACATTTAGATTAAAACTGTTCAACAGGCTTCTGCTACTTGACTCCGGCCATTCGTACGCCTTCCATAGGTAAGGGATCCTGTGATCCCATGAAAGGAAAAAACAAAAAATGAATTAGGCATTGAATTCATAGCCAAATATTGCTGTTAATTCCGACATTGTACAATTGTTTTCAACTATCTATTTTCTATCTTAAAAATAGTAATTTATAAAAACAATCATTTAATAACTAGTAATAAATATCAGAATTTATAATATTGATGTAGGCTTATAGTAAAATTAGATTGCTATTTTGTAACTTACTGCTGGAAATGGACACGTCCAATTTTCTGGAAACTGCTTTGCGTACATTTGTCCGAAGAACGGTTCGTAGCGAAAGAAATCGCAGAACTTGTACGCTACATTTAGAGGGGTCGGTATGTAATGGCCGGCGAGATATTCGTAAAGCGCCATTTTCAACTGAAATAGAAAATCTTACATTAAATTCTATGTGACGTCGTGGTGGCCTGGAGGTCAAGGCGCCTAGTTCACATATACGAGGGTACGTGTTTGAAACCTGGTGATATCGAAGTGACTTTTGTACGTATATGTAAGTACTTCCCAAAATTATTTAGACGCATCTGATATACGGTGGAGACAAAAAACCATGAGGAACCCTTTTATAAAGTGGGGATAGTAATAAAATTACTTCTTCCACCTACTTCATACTCAGTACGATAATGATGCACCGAAATTATATCATAGTTCAGAATTCTCAAACAAAATTTGTAGGTAATTTGCAAATTTCAAAAAAAAAATCGTTATAAATATGATGTTGACTAGCACTTTAAGAATCTAATCTGAAACCCATTAACTTAGTAATTTAGTTCATACAATCACATTTTGCATACATCCAAAACAAATGATGTCAATAATAAGCCCAAAAACATATGACGTCAATATGAAGACTTTTCCAAAAACTCAGAAAATCAGAACACCTCCGAGTTCCGATACAGTTCTTATCAATTCGCGAAACCATAAGAATGTATGTATAAAAGTTTCAGTAGGTTGGTAGGTACTAACAAATATCTCTTCTCATCGTCTGACGTCATCAACGGCACCCTTTTACCTTTTTACTTACCTACAAAACTCTTGCATCATTTATTACCGGTGAACGTTATTTTAGGAACAATAGATAAGATTTATGTATGAAGATACCAAGTCCGTTCGTAAATAGGCAACGTAATTATTATTGGTGAAGAAAATGCTTTCTCTTATATAACAAAGAACATTTTTATGAAATAATGAACTAAACTTATCGGAAAGTTAATTTATGTCTCAACTTTTTGGTCCCTGGTAAAACTCAATCATCATAATCATCAGCTTATAAGTGCCCACTGCTGAGCAAAGACCTCTTCGCACACGGAGAAGGTTTAAGCATTTAATTTTATCGCCACGCTTGCTCAAGGTGGATTGGCAATTTCAAACTTATAATTAGGAATTATTAGTCCAGGTTTTCTCACGATATTTTAGATGTCTAAATAACGTTAAAATGTTCTGGAAAAGTCACTTTGCTAGTTGCCAGGTTTGGAACCCGTACCCATGCATTATAAGAGGGCCTTGACCTCCGCGCCACCACGAGAACAAACAATTTTTATAATCACTTGACCTTCTCTCCCGTCCAGTAGGCCTACCATGAAGTGTTGAAGCGTGAATCTTTCGGGCGAAAAAGAGGGATGGAACTATACACCTTCTATAGCTCCATCCCTCTTTCTCGTCGTCATGGTAGGCCTTCAATAAAACATTCCATATCGGAATAGGAGAAGGAACTAAGGTTATAAGTCAATTAGCAGGCTCTTTCATCCTCTCGCCCGAACCAGGACGGGAGAAGACATTGAAGGAATTATCCCACTCAAGCTTTGTTTGGTCAAAATGCCTGATGTCTTTTCTTTTAAGATTGTATTGAAGTAATCGAAATCATAATAAAGAATGAATCTCAAAATCCCTTTATCAATAGTCGAGTGTAATAAGGCGATTACATTATGAAATCTAACAATACCTACCGTCATGTTATTACCGACTCCAACCAAAGATTCCAGCTCCATGCTGACATACAGGGGAGAGTTCCGACTGAATTTTCTGAACACAACCGACAAGTTCTTCAAGTATTTCGTATTTACATATTCTACTTCATGTCTCTCAGGGGCTATTTCCATGGCCTAAAATAAAATAGAAAAATGCAAATTAATTAATAAAATTGCCATTACTATGTATGGTTTACAGGTGGTAGCGTTTCGGTCTTTTCTCCAATTGTGTTAGGTAATAAAATAGCTGTGCCCCGCGGTTTCATTTGCGTAATTCATAGCCTATGTTTACCAGAAATAGCATAGCCTCCCAGCGGTAAAATATTTTTTCCAAATCGGCCAAGTAGTTTCACATCTATTATATCTTTCCTGTTTAATATTTGTATAAATGCATGTGAATAAAAACAATATTTAGCTTAATCAAACCAAATGGCTTTTCTCGCCCAGAGAGGGACGAGTCGAAATGTCAGACTCTCAGACTAAGAGTCTTTTTTTTTGTCAGCCCTATTGGACCCCGTCTGTGGTGGTCTATTGGCTCTTTGAGGCGCGCGCGGAACGCTACGCGCCGCACGCTCGGGAGACTAAGAGTCCGAAAAGCCTATAAGAGCCTCTCACTGGATAAAAGCCACCTCGTTTCTTCTCTTGATCCAGGCTATGACCCCGATATTATTGAGCTTGACCAGCAACCCTGATGATTCCTACTAAGCTACACTTACAATAATGATGTTAGTATAACAACTACGCAATCACACATTTTTTTTTTCTAAGATAATGTACAAAACCTTTACCTTTACCTACTCAAAATTTATCGATATGCTAAAACAGTGTAGGGCACGGTCTCAAATCAAATCAAATAAATGTTTCTATTTTTGTAATAAAATATTTTATACGTTACCCAAATCAATCTCAAAATGTACAAAATAGCCAATATTTTCATTGTAACTAACTTTTTTCTAGGAATTGATAGGTTTTTAATGCTCACATATATTTATAAGCTACCTATGTACTTACATACACATTAAAATATTGTTCAACTATAATAGAAAAATGCGTGATTACGCGTGTAGCATGATGTTCAAAACATTGTTTTATTTTTATTAATATTACTTTGCAGTTAGAACAAAGTAAATGTTTTTCTATTTAAAAAAAAAAAGAATAAAACCTGGATTACAATTTTAAATGTAATGTTTTACGAAGTACTAATAAGAAAGAACATCGTCTTATCTTACTTAGCATAATTTGTTTAAAATATAATTTCTTATTAAAATGAAGCCAGTTTTCTGCAAAGAAATAATATAACATTTTTTCTTTTACTTGTAAAAACTTATACGTTAAAATAGAGTGGAATCGCGGGAAAACATTAGTAAATAGGAAACATAAAGAAATTGTATCTATATTATTGTCATTCGATTTAATTTGTACCACAATATACGTATTTTATTACATTTTAATAACTTTATTACGTCCGAACATCCTGTATATGGAAATAAATTAAATTCATACAATAGATATGGCGATCATGGCAATGTAATTAGGTACTTAGTCAAAAATAAATGGTTTCGACTTTTCAATGAAATAAAATATTAAAGAAATAGTCTTTTTTTTATCTGATATGTCGGCAAACGAGCTGACAGATACCTCATGGTAAGCAATTGGTAGCCCGTGGACGGATACTCGTAACACCGGAGGAGTTAATGAGTGCGTTGCAGGCCTTTTGGAGGTGGGCATTACTGGGCACTGTGTTTCGAAGATTTAGGAGATTAAGAAAGGATGGAGGAAAGAGAATGATTAGGCCTCCTGTTAGACGGCGAAACACAACGCTGTGGATGTTTCACGCCGGTTTTCTGTTACGCCGCAATGTCTATGGTCGAGCCGGTCCACTTGTGCCAATGCTTGGCTCTCCCATACTTGGTCGCATTTTCAAATGTATACAAAAATATGAGGAGTTTTTTTTTTCGAACTATGTAAAACTCAATCAGTACTAATTTTGTAAGACAGGATCCTCAGGAGCCATAAAATCATCATCATTCAACAGATGCCTCTCATTTCAGATACTATTTTTTATGCATTTTTTGTCTATTTTTATCTAAACACGACGTTGTTTCAGTTGTGGTTGTTTCACGCCGGTTTTCTGTGGGGCCGTGGTATCACTCCGATCGAACCGACCCGTTTGTGCCGTAGCATGGCTCTCTTACACTTCAATTCAAAAGTTAATTGCTTTTCTACCATTATTTTTTACAATATTTTATACAGCACATAGCGAGATATAGACACGAATAAAGTATGTATATATTATATGTAGGTATATATTTGTCTAAAGATATGAAAAAAAACCTGTGCTTTACATTTATCTGTATATAGAGTACCTTGTTGTACCTATAAGTAATAAACTTGCCTTAACTTTTCTAATACAAGGAAGAAAATCAAATAAGACTACTGAAGAAAAGACCAAAAGACGAAAAGACCAAACCAAATTCACAACAAAACCTTCTCAAGCAGTTATGTTTTATGGTTTTGAGAGGGACCCGAGGTCTGAGGTCAACATAAATCATTGTGTTATATTAAGAACATGGTTTTTAAACTAAGTCCGGTCAACAGGTCATTGGTGAAAGAACTGTGCGTATTTCTTTCACGTTTCTGCTTTTCATAATAATTCAAGTGTAAACGCCGAGGGGAAATATAAAAAATGGAATCAGGTTAGAAAAATATTCTACATAATATCCATGCTTTGCTATTTATTTTGTTGAGTGAAGATAGTTTTATGAAAAACTGAGATTAAAGAGTTTTAAAATAATGGGAAAGTATAAGTCAGAAGTGTGCTTCGAGGATTTTGTTGAAACTTGTTCGTATAAAAATGTGAGCTGTTCTCGATTTGCTTTTTCCCTTGTAAAATAATTCTAGTTGATTGCGAAAAATTCAGTTTTGTAAATTTTTTTTTTGTTTCATATTGTAATATGTTAAGAAGTTGTTTTCTTGAGTACCGCCATTATGAGAACATAGCAATTTTATTATTTTATTTGGAAATAAAGAATTCTGAAAAAGAAAATATATTTATATAATAATGTAGCAATAAGCTAAAACCATTTACTGATTAAATTGTTTCGTAGAAAAGTGAACCGTTCGCGAGAAGTAAAATTTGCATAACTTAAATAGCTCAGACTACAAATATGTTTCTATAACTTTCATTGAATTTAAGATTTAGATACTTTCAAAATACTTTAAAATATTTTCTTTTGTAAAGTACTTATTTTGTAAATTGATGCCGTTTTTACATTATAAGTATTTTTGGGAAATGACAACCGTATTAAAACTCCATTTTCAATAGTCCAAAATGCAACGCAGTCGTCACTCTTAGTGTTGTGGTTATTGCCAGCGCCGATTGCTTATCATCAGGTAATCCGTCTATTAAGAGGTATCTATCACATAAAAAGAGTCTTCCTAAACAAAAAAAACTATCTGTGCAACCTAACTCTGTAATTGGGCTGAAGACCTCAAATTCAAAAGCCACGCTTACATAACTCCCGAACAATCGAGTTTTACTATTCATCTATTCCAAAATCCGAGTACAAAGACATTTTCTTACCTTGAATCCAAGACAGTAGTTATTGTGGAACATTAATCATATTTTGATATTGCTTTGTAGCCGACCCGTTAAAGGAAACCCGTCTATTAGGCTATTAAAACTGTGGCTTCCTTCGACTCGGCTGCGGGTTGGAGCAACAGCTATTGTTCTTGAAATATAATATTGCGTAACTCCCAATTTTGAATTTGGAACAAATTCAGACCATCATAGAACATTCTTTGTACAAGAGGTTGCAAATCTGTAGTTATTATTTTTACCTTTTATTTCTCTATACTGGTTTTGACCGGTTCATTATAATATGTTGTAATATATTATTTTATTCTGTTGTTTTTGTTTTTAAGTTTTTTGGAATTGTATAGGTAATAATAACCATACTCCGAATTATCCATCTTTAGTTATGTCTGCGGAAAATGATAGTTTGCCCCTGTGTGTGTATTATTATACTGAGAGCACAATCCTTATTATTGATATCTTAAATGCGTAGTGATATTGACTCTTCTTATTTTGAATATTCTTTAGAAAAGAGTATTGATTTTTGTTCCATTTTTAAATTCAAATGTACTCTGTTGTTTATCCCAATGAAAATAACACAAAATATTTCACATTCTATAGACAAAATCCAACAATTTACAACAACATTTCTAAACAACACAGCTACATATGTAGTTCCTGTGCACAACGATATGTTACAGCGCATAAGCGGTTTAGCATTTGCAAAAGTGTAGACTAATCGAATAGTTTGCCAAGACTAAATTGAGTGGCTTCTTTGCCAAATTCTAGGATAAGAAGATTTAGAGTTTGTACGTTCTCTTAGACATTAGTTCAAGTTATTCATGGGCCGTATTCACGCGGGTACCATGTAAATAGATGTTCCAACACGGCTATTTCCAGTTTAATTTGAATGCTTGGCGACAGGCCAGGTCAATCGGGCTTAATCACTAGCTAAACAGTCCGGCGTGACAGCCCTACTGATGCGAGTTAGTGGTTGTTATTGATCCAAATAGAATTATATTAAAATTTTATGAAAATAATGAATTGTTGGAATAATAAGGTGTAAGAGAGCCAAGGTCAAGCCATGCTTCTACCACGGCTTCAAAGAAAACCGGCGTGAAACAACAACACGACGTTGTTTTTTGCCGTGTTAGCGAGGCGAGGGCCTAGTATCCCGAACTAATCCTTTAATCCCCAAAACTATCCCTATAAAGCTGGCAACGCACTTGCAATTCCTTTGGTGTCATGGGTGTCAATAGGAGGCGCCGATTGCTAACCTAATCTGCCTGCTCGTTTGGCTGCTAATCGTAAAAAAAATTATGAAAATTTGAGACAGAGAGGCTTAGATTAGATTGATTGTACAATAATGTCCGTACCGTAACATTTTACGTAAATAAGAACATTACTATTATTGTAACTATGACGTCATCGTCATAAGGTTTTAACCTCGCTCACCTAACATTAAGTCATGAGGCCCAATAGTAGTACCATGAGGCTGTTCAATTTCAAATTTCGAACAACCGAATGAAGTTTAGGTTTGTTGTTTAGTTTTTTTTTATGGGATAGATTGGTGAACACACGCAACACCAAACGATGGCCGAGGATCGTTGCCGTACTTTTGGGTTTATGGTTTTCGAAGTTTTAGGGATTGAGAATTTTAGGGAAGTATGGGGCCTCCGGTAACTCACACAGCGAAACACAACGCTTATGTTGCTTATAATAATTAGTTATATTCGAGGTAGAACAAAGTACGCTATTCCAGCTTGTGTAGGTAGATATAAATATAACGAATACAGGTCAAACGGAATTCCTCCTTTTAAAGAACAGAACAAGGGACCCCAAAATCTTTGTCTCCAAAAATGAAATAGTGTGTGTCACCATTCTATTGACAATAGAGGCGAGACAGTTTGCAAGCCGAGGTCGGTTTCACCCCACAATTGGTTTTGTGTCACGTCTATCGAATATTCGAATTGGTTTTAACCTCACTATGTAATAACTTTCCATATTGCTTTTTCTATATAGGTATATTGAGCTAACGTTTGCTAGTGGCATTTCTGTGTAACTACTGTTTTTATAGTAACTATCGAGAGACATACTAAATATGAGATAGACTTACTCATGTGAATTAAAAAAATGTCGTGGTGGCTCGGAGGTTAAGGAGCCCGCTTCTCATTCATGAGAGTGTAGGTTCGAAACTTGGCAAGTACCAATATGACTTATTCCGAGTTATATGTTCTTTCTATGATTATTTAGACACCACATACGGTGAAGGTAAACATCGTGAGGAAACCTGGACTTATAATTTTTTAATGATAAGTTTGAAATCACCAAACCTCATTGAGCAAGCTTGATGATCAATGCTCTAATCTTCTCCGTTTGAGAAGAGGCCTTTGCTCAGCAGTGAGCACTTATAGGCTGATGATGATGATGATGATGTGAATTAACTGAGCAAAGCTCTACTAGTTTCAAATCACAACTCTTCTTGATGATGATGATGAGCGACTCTTATTTATTTATTTATTTATTTATACTTCATGCACAATTTGTATGTACATAGGCGGACTTAATGCATTGAGCATTCTCTACCAGTCGACCTTTGGGTGATGCAGAGAATCCAGTAGTAGATGCAAGAAGCAAGCGAAATAGAGTAGTATAACATAGGTTTATATAAACATACATAAAGTACATAGAACTATACTTATATACATATATTTATAAAACACATACTACTTAATATATTTACACATATAAACACATACATACATATATATACATAAATGTAGTGATGATCACAATGACTCCCCAACCCTCCTCAGAAGAAGCTCCCGAACTCTCTGCTTGAATGTCAGCCGACCAGTCACAGTCCTGACATCGGCGGGTAGCGCATTCCACAGAAGAATAGACTGAACAAAAAAGGAGGAGTGAAGAAATTTTGAGTGATGAGTTGGACAGTTGAGGAGACGATTATTAGATGAGCGAAGATATTTACTATGGTTTGCGCAGGTGTATTGGAAATAAGGGGACAGATAGGTAGGTAGGCAAGGTGAGTTGAGAAAGGAAAATAGAGTGGTAAGCGCCCTTTGCTCCCTGCGCTGACGAATGGGCAACCACTTTAATTGCAACCGATGTGCAGATACATGATCATATTTGCGCA